TGAAATATTTAGGGAAATGGAATAAAGATGTAATACTATCACAAATATTAAAGTGTACCCCTGGCCTATATGGTAAATAGTTCCCCTAAACCAAATGACATAAATATTTGCTCATAATTTCAATAATAATAATAACATATTTGAGAGGTTTTTCAGCTCCTGCCCCACCACCCACATCCCTCTACCGAAACGTGTTTTATTCTTTAATTTTTCCGGCAAATTAACATTAATTTTATCCGTTTTAGAAAAATACGAAAAATAAGAAAATAATTCATACTATCAGAAAAATATTTTTCAATATTTGCTCAGCGCCAAATGCAAACGCAAAAAGATATTTTTGGAAAAAAAATGAAAATATTTTACTGTATATTACAACCCTGGAACAAGCTCGAAAAAAAAATTGAAGAAAGTTTTTCTCAAATTGTTGTGCAAACTCTTGTGAACGCAAATTGTTGTGAAATTGGTTCAGTGTTTTTCGACTGCTGGGCTGCTGTAGTTAAAATAAAAAAAACAATATTTTTACCATTTTCCTGCCTTTAAATCACCTTGACTTTAAATATACTTTGAAAATTCCTGCAACAACATTTGCTTTAGTGATTATTACACACTTGTATACATTGTTGTAGCACCCAGTAATATTTTGACTTCCGAGTGTAGTTACTAATTATCATGTTTTTAAAGCTTTTTAATCCTTCGAATCATACGCTAAGGAAAGACGATAGTTTTTGGCAGTTTATGAGAAAACAATTTGGTCTCGGATAAGTGAGGGTCATGTGGAGAAATGAAGGTGAACAAGTTGGACCCAGATTTACAAGAACTGTTTTACTGAGTCTTAGAATATCGACACGAAGGCACGAAAAAATTCTTAAAACTTCCTCTGAGAACACTTGTTAATTTTTTCATATTTTTTTGAATTGCTGGGCCATAGTTAAAAACATTTGTAGTCGTTTGTAGATATTTGTAGTCATGTTACTTGTCTGTATAATAGGCGCTGCGTCCTAGGCACCTCCAGAAGTAAGATCACTGAATGGCGGCACCTGTGCCTAGTACCTGTGCGTAGGAAAAACGGAAATGGTTATTATTTTTTAACAGTAGCTCTGCATTCAGAAATGTCAGAAAAAATTCACAATTAGTATTTTGGGAGGAAATTTTGCATTTTTTTCCAGCCTGTTTAGGGTTGAAATGAATTGAATCGATGCCTTATTTTAAATGGCGAGACTCGGGCCCTCTCTTCCTTCTGACCATGCTAATTTCGCTGGGCTCCTTCCACTCAATAGCGGAGAAAGGAGGTATTTCTTGGGCGACGAAACAGACAATTTGAATTTAGCTCAGGGGCATCATTTAGACTTGAGGATCTTTTACATCCAGTAAATCTACTACTGACGGGACAGCTATTGATACGACGGGTCTTTACTTCCGCCTCAAACGAAGGCGTACGATGAATTTTTTCGCCCTTAAAAATCCACAGCTTCGATCGAGTTTAAACCCGCTAACTTGGGTAAAAGCCTGATAAGCTAACAGTTACACCATCGCCGCCGTCAGGGTTCTAAGCCACAGAAAAAATACTTTTTCATTTTTTTTTTTAATTTAGCGCTGAGAAAGTTTAGAAAAATATTTTTCTGGTACTATGAAGATTTTTTTTTATTTTTCCCTTTTTCGTAGTCAGATAAAATAGTGTGAAGTCGATGAAAAAACTTATAATAAAAAGCACATGTCTGGCTGGGTAGTAGTGTGCTTGGTGTGATGGGATGAGAAATCTCTCAAAATTATTATTTTTGTGTTAGAATTATAGAGTAACTCTAGTCAGTGGACGGCATTTTATCAACGAATGAAGGATGAACGAAACGAATGAAAGGTGTCTAATTAAACATCTAATTACAATTGGAAGTAGAACTATTAAGACTACTAGATCCACTATTACAAAGAGAGCTTTTTAAAAACCGAGTCATTTATTCATCATTTCTATCTTATGGTATGCAATATGTATTATCAAATTAAAGTTGAAACCACTTTCGGATCACTTTCGGAACCACTAGACTTACGAGAAGCGCAATGGTGAACCTGAAGATTTAGTCGCGAGGGCAACAGCGATAGCGTAACGCTTTCCATGCGTAAGGCCTCCAAAGCCTACTTACGCATTAAATGTTTCCGAGTGCGACAAACCTTGAATTAATAATGAATTTGAGGCCATTGTTTTGTTATTTCGATTTTCTTCGCAAAATTGTCTCTGCGTGAAAATACAGTACATACGAACATAAACTATTAATCAATAAGAAATTCATTTTAAAGAGTTGCATTGTGTATAGAAGCAGCCCGTTCCAACAATAATACATGTTTTCGTCAAAATTTAAAAAATACTTTAATTCATTTTATAGTACTTCATTTAAATTACTCTCTCTCTCTCTCTCTCTCTCTCTCTCTCTCTCTCTCTCTCTCTCTCTATATATATATATAT